TCCCTCCAAGCCCCTCAGTATAGCTGGCAATCAAAGCCCAGACTGAACAGATTCTTTCCCTGCTTAAAAAGCCTTCCACAGCAGCCTGGATCAAGGACACATTTCTTAGAGGTTAGGCCAGGCTCTGTACTGGACACCAGGGAAATAAAGGTGGACTGACCTTGTCTTCCGGCCAAGACAGATATTCAAACCAGCCAGGCTTAGAGTTTGTGCCTTGGGACCCAACTGTGAATGAGAGAGACATGGTGGCAGCCCACATAAGGCTTACTGTGCATGGGGGAAGCTGACAAGCAAACAGTGTTAACCTGGTGCGACAAACAAGGGCCGTGACAAGCACATGGCAGGCCACCACAGGAGCACAAAAGAAGGGGCACCTAATCCAGGTGGGGAGATGGGGTCCTGGGACGTCTTCCTGGAGAATGGAGTTTCTCAGCTAATTCTTGAAGGACAAGGAGAAGTTTTCAAGGTGATAGGACAGTCTCTTTGCTCTCTTGTCTAGAGCTTGGGCCTCATACATTCCCATTCAAGCATAGTAGCTGGGGTCTCCTGCCCATATTACAACTATCCCCCCACAGGGGCAGTTCTAGGACCCCCATCTTATTTTCAGGGTGTGTAAAAGTGTCCTGGCTGTTGAAAAGGGGACTGTCCACACAGATGATGTCAGAATGTATGAGGAGTTTGGGGACAAAGAATCTCCAGACCTGACCATGCTCCTCTCTTTGTGGTCTCCTTAACTCCCAAAGGTCCCTAGGAACATCCTTCTCACAGCTGCCCTCACACCAGGCAGGACTTAACACAGGGAAGTGAACAGTGGCGATGATGCAGAGCAGCATAGTAAGTGGTATGGTATTTTCTATTGTTTTTTGTTGTCATTATTATTGTTATTACATACAAATGGGGCAAAGACTCAGCAATAATCTGGATACAGGGTATAAAGAAGTGTGAGTAAACATGATACTAGAAAACACCTGTAATACCTACAATGTGCCAGGCACATTCTAAGTGCTTTATATATATATATATATATATATATATATATAATCTCATCCAATCCTCATATCAACTCTATGATTTAGGTATCATTATTATTATTCTCCTTATTTTACAGATGAGGAAGCTGTAGCACAGAGAGGCTAAGTAGCTCTCCTATGGTCACCCAGCCCATGGTATGACATCCAGAGTTCTAGTTTGGGCTCTTGGATGAATGATAGTGCCCTTTATAGTGATGTGAATGTGAGTGGAGCTTCAGGGTTGGGGGTAGATGGTGAGTTCTGCTTCAGGCACATAGAACTGGGTTACTTGTTCTATTAGCTCTCATACCAAAGCTAGTGTGATAGTTTCCCAGAGAGGTCAGGGGTGGTGTTCCCTCAGGTATTCTGGGACTGTCTTTGGCCCAAATATAGGTTTCCCAAGGTGCTATATGAGGGGTGTCATGGAGCATGTCTCCTCCACTGGAACCCAAGTCAGTCATGGTAGGTTAGACCCACAGTACTGGCCACAGAGGAAGTTATGAAGTCTGGACACACTTCCCAGATGAAGCTGGCTCTCACAGACAATGAAAGCCAACCACCTGGGCATGAAACAGCTCTGAGGAATGAAAAAACTTAATCTTGTTTTCCAGATCCCTAAGTCTCCTACATACCAGGCAGCCAGAACTGCAGGACAACGCATCATCAGGGAAACCTGAAAAAGAGATGACAGCATTTGGCCTGGCCTTAAGAGATTTCCTGCTTGATATCCCTGAGTCTCTGAGACCTTAATGGGCCAGTGGGCCACACACAGTGGCAATGTCAGGCAGAAGCTAGGACCAGATAGCCAAGACCTCCCTGTGTGGTTTCCAAATGTAGAGCGTGACCTTGATATCACAAGGCCACTCATCAGGCTCAGTGGCAAAGACTGCTCTAATAGACCTCTTTAAAGACTGTAAAAACCCTGTAGTAGGTCTTCATATGCCTTCGTTTCTGTCCTGGCTTATGCAGAGATGTGATGGACACAAGTCAGGTCCAGAGGTAGACCCAGAACATCCTTGGGATATTGCTGATGGCCTGGACAGCACAAGTTACTGTTACTTCGGACCCTGTAAAGGAACTACTTGCTGGGCTACAACAAGATATTGGGCTGGCCAAAAAGTTCATCAGGGTTTTTCTGTAAGATGTTATGGAAAAACCTGAGCGAAACTTTTGGCCAACCCAATGCATAAGATACATAGTTAACTCCATTGGAAATGTGGCTGATGTTTTCCTTTGCCCACTGTTTCTCTTTGGAACTCAAGTTTTTCTTGAATATATCTTTTTAATATGTCCTTTTACTGCCTCAAGTTGCAGAGGCTTTTTGTTAGCCCCATATATCATTCGTTTTTGGAGGTTGTGCCTTCAGAGCCTCCTCAATCATGTTAGCAGCAGGTACCTGTTCACGTGCTTCTGTATGCAAACCATTCTTCCAGGTGAAGTCCACCTGGGTAACACCTGCCTCCCAGATATTAGACTAGACAATTGCATCTAGATTATGTCGTCTACATAACTTCCCACTTTTTATCGGCTCCTTGGCCCTCCCTAGGGGGCCTCTCCTTGGACACCAGAGTGCTTGTTCTGTTTTAGGAAAGATTAACCACACCTGCCGGCCAAAATATCACAATCTCTGGGCTCATTTCTTCTTTAGTAAGACGGAGATACCTGTTGCTCATTTCATTAAGACTCACATTGGGTGAAAATGCCCTGGGCATCACATACAGTATAATAATATCTGACTGCACGCTCAGGATATGTCAGGTCTTTTGCTGTGTAGTGTCCTTATGTTACCCCTTTCAGCTCTCACAGCCCTGTCAGGCGCACGCTGTGCTCTGCATTTTTCAGATGAAAACACAGGCTCAGAGGTTAGGTTTTCTTTCCCAAGGCCACCAGGAGGGAAAGGGGCAAACCTGGGGTGCGGCAGGGTCGCCCAGTCCTAGAATGGTCTGAGAGCGGCACGTGTGCAGCCTGAGGCCTCAGTTGAGACCCCCTCCCCGCTGCCGCCACTGTGCCCCAGCCAGGCCCGGAGGGGGTGGTCTCCGCGCCCAAGGTGTCACCAGCTGTGTGGCTGCGAGGGCGCGGGGTCGCGGGCGGCCACTTTCTCAACCGAGACTTCCGGGATCCTGGAGGGACCGGAAGTGGGGCCTCTCTCGCTTCCGGCCCGGCCATTGTTTTCGCTTACGCCGGCCGCGGCGGCATCAGGTGTGCGGGGGGCGCGAGCGCGGTGACCCGGTGGGCGGGCTCGGGACGGGGAGAGAAGTGTCGCTGGGGCCCGGGGCCGCTAGGCTGGAGCTGCGGCCGCCCACAGCCCAAGTCGGCTACGCCGGCCCGACCCACTCTTCGCCCCAGCGGCTGGCGGCGCGGTCCCCGTGACGCTCAGAAGCCGCCAGATGTAGAGCCGCCTCTTTGTCCCAGTGCCCTGACCAGCCGTGCCTGGCACCGAGCCCAGCACCTGCGGGTACAGCGATGAGCAGGGCAGACGTGGCCAGGTGAGCGGCGCCGCAGAAGCCTGGTCGAACGCGAAATGTAGATAGACGTTTTACCAGCCTTGCGCTGGAAGACGGTACGAAGCGTCAGAAGTGGGTCAGACCCAGTCAGAATTTCAGACGTGAAGTATAGCTTGGAGAGCCAAAAATCCAGATGAGATGAGGGGCTGAGCATTCGGAGTAGTAAGGGAAGTAGGAATGGCCAGAACTTTTTATGTATTTCAGAGCAGACTCACAGATTTTTAAGTCTGTCGTTGTCTTTTTAAAGAAATTGAGCCCTGGAGAGAGTAGCTTACCCAAGGTGCCAAGATGCATGGTGAATTGGAAGCATAGCACAGATGCCCTAGTTACCACTAAGGTGCTGATTTTCAGGGTTTTACAGTATGTAAACTGGATAAAAGTCGCCCCCACCCCCAACTTAAGTATCATTCGTTCTCTTCCCAGATACGTGCCTCTGTATGCCAAGTACACACACACGTACAAAGATGACTGGGAACCAGCTCTGCCCTTTGAGTCCTCCCATAAAGTGGAGGAGGCAGTCGTGTAAGTCCCAAACACAGTATGAGAAGTGCTCTAGCAGAGGTTTGAATGAAAAAGGTACTGTGGGTTCACTGAGGCAGTAACCACATTTAAGCCTGGAGAGATCAGCAAGGCTTTCTAGGGGAAGTGGGTTGAGTAGAAAAGGGTCTGGCATTTCTTACTTCATTGGGTTCCTTTTCCTTTGTGGCCATCCAGCAGTTTGGAGGGTGTGAGTGATGAGTTGTGCATAAATTAGTTAAAATACAATGTTACACTGAGAAGTACTGAGAGGGAGGTGACCAGCTCCCCTTCCTGCATGGGGCAATCAGGAATGCCTT